CGCCCCCAGCAGGGACTCCCTGATGAAGCCGTGTCGCGAAGCTCGCACACGACCCCACCCCCCTCGCCCTCCTCCAACTCTTCCTGTCATGGAGGAAAGGACGAGGACGACGATCTACGATCCACGACCAAAAGATCCACGACCAACTGTCAATGATCAATGATCAACGCTAAGGGGTAAACGATACACTACAAAGACCGCTGGTCAGCCACCACGGCTAGAGGAAGAAAATACTGCATGCACATAAAATGTATAAACTCCGCCCAGATCTGAGATCTCGGGGCAAAACATAAGCATTAGCATAAACTTTCCTGGATCTGCGCTGGGCCCCCCTCCCTGGCGCGCGGAGCGCGCTAGGAGCGGCGCCGCCAGGGGGCTCCAGCGCAGATCGAAGAAATCCGCGCGGGCAGTCGAAAGCGTATGCTTATGCCGTGCTTTCTCATTCGGAATACTCAACGACCCATACTCATCAGCGATCAATCATCCGCGATCCAACGACCAACGACCAATGACAATTCAACCACAGCGATCCTACATTAGCGATCAATCATCAGCGATCCAATCAGTCACAGTCCAAGACCAATGACCAATCATCAGCGATCCACGACGACGGTGGCAGCGACGACGGCGGCGGCAACGACTGGCGGCCTGCAGGGGGGGGGGGAAGAAGGTCCCCCTGCGGCCTCCAGAGGCCTGCTGGAGGCCCGTCAGAAGCCTCCAGAGACGTCCGAACAGGCCCTGCCCCCCAAAAAAAACTCGCCGTTGGCTTCGTCATCGTCGGAGGAAGGAAGGAACAGAGTGAGGAGGAGGAGGAGGAGGAGGAGGAGGAGGAGGAGGAGGAGGAGGAGGGGGAGAAGGAGGAAGGAGGAGGAGGAGGAGGAGGAGGAGGAGGAGGAGGCGGGGGAGGAAGAGGAGGAGGAGGAGGAGGAGGACGACGACGACGCTGAAGACGGGGACGAAGAGGTTCTCAGTGGAGCGCCGCCGGCAGAACCGCGCCACCCCGGGCGGACGCCGGCGAGAGTCGCGGCTCGCTCTTGCACCGCAGGCCTGGGGAAACTGCGGGCGGGAGAAGGGGAGAGCCAGCCGAGGAGTCTGGGGGACACTGGAAGGGGGAGGGAGGGAGGAGGAGAGGGGCAAGCCAGGTGCGCTCGCGCCGCGCGCCACATCTGACATCCTGTCCCTCCCGCCTGTCCCTTCCCATTGCGCGGTTCGTTCTCTGTCCGCGGACGCGCGTCATGGCCCGACCTGGAACTCCGCAGAAGACTCGATCGTGGCATGCGCAGTCGGAAGAGGGAAGCTTGTGGAACCTGTGCGACCTGAGGGGCCTCGGTAGGCTGTGGGGCCTGTGGGACCTGCGACACCTGTGGGACCTCTGGGACCTGGGGGACCTCCGTGGGAACTATGAGACATGCGACACCTCTGGGACCTGCGGGGTCTGCGGGACCTGTCGGACCTGTTGGACCTGTGGGGCATGCGAGACCTGCGACACATGTGGGACCTGCGGAACCTGTCAGACTGGTGGGACCTGTGGGACCTGCAGGGCGACCCGTGACACTTTCGGGTCCTGTGGAACCTGTAGGACCTGTGGTGCCTGCGAGACCTGCAAGACCTGTGGGATCCAGAAAAGTGGCCCACGCTGGGGCGGGAGCGCCATTCTGAGCAACGGGAGCACAACGCCGATCCGAAAATGCGACCCACGCTGCAGAGAGAGCACCATTTTGAATGATCCTGGCGGAAGACCCACCAATATGCAGCTATGAATAACGCGTGGGCGGGGGGACGCATGCGGACCCTGCCACTGGGACCTTCACCAACATGGGAGGGGGGACGCATGCGGACCCTGCCACTCGGGCTTTCGGTGGAGCTCCCTATGGAGCCTCGGTGGAGCTCCCTAAGGGGCCACGAACCGTGTGAGGATGTGCCAAATCGAGCGCCGGGCGCATGGAGCTCCTTATGGAGCCACGAACCGTGTGAGGGGTGTGCCAAAATGGGCGTCGGGCGCATGCGGACACTGCCGCTGGGGCCTTCGGTGGAGCTCCTTATGCGGCCACGAACCATGAGAGGTGTGCGTCAAAATGGGCGTCGGGCGCATGCGGACCCTGCCTCTGGGGCCTTCGGTGGAACTCCCTATGGGACCACGAACCGTGTGAGGGGTGTGCCAAATCGGGCGTCGGGCGCATGCAGACCCTGCCACTGGGGCATTCGGTAGAGCTCCCTATGGGGCCACGAACCGTGACAGGTGTGCCGAACTGGTGCACATGCGGAGAGCAGAGGCACGATGCTGACGATGGCGATGATAATGATGCCTTCGGTGCAGCTCCCTATGGGGCCACGAAGCGTGGGAGGACTATGCCAAAGCAGAGCCATGCGGACGCGGACGGCAGAGGCAGGTATGGGAGGAGAGAGGATTGGGGGTGAAGGGCAGTTCACGATGCTGGCCTTGGTGATGGTGATGGTGATGGTAATGGCGATGGTGGGTTAATGATGGTGATGATGGTGATGATGATGATGATGGTGATGATGATGATGATGATGATGATGATGAGTATGATGATGATGACGACGATGATGATGATGATGATGAATGATGATGATGATGATGATGATGATGATGATGATGATGATGATGATGATGATGATGATGATGATAACGGTGAGAATGATAGTGATGGTGATGATGATGATAATGATAGTTGTGATGATGATGATGATGCGGCTGCTGATGATGCTGATGATGATGGTGATGAGATGGTGGTGTTGATCATGGTACTGATGATGATGATGACGATGATGGTGATGATGATGATGGTGATAGTAATGCTGATGATGATGAGAATGGTGGCGATGATGATGATGATTGCGATGGTGATGGTGATGGTGAAGGTGATGATGATGATACTGTTGATGTTGATGTGGACTATGATGATGAAGGTGATGACGTTGATGATTATGATGATTATGATGATGATGCTGATGCTGATGATGATGGTGATGATGATGTGATGATGATGACGATGGTGATGACGATGGTGGTGATGCTGATGCTTCGGATAATGATGATGCTGATGCTGGTAATGATGATACTGATGATGGTGGTGATGATCATGGTGATGATAATAATGATGATGATGGTGATGATGGTGATGATGCTGATGATGGTGATGATGATGCTGATGATGATGATGACGATGATGGTGGTGATGAGAATGGTGGTGATGATGATGGTGATGGTGATGGTGATATTGATGTTGATGTTAGTGATGATGGTGATGATGTTAATGATGATGATGATGATGATGATGATGATGATGCTGCTGCTGCTGCTGCTGCTGCTGCTGCTGATGATGCGGATGATGGCGATGGCGGTGGTGATGACGATGATGATGACGATGCTACCGGTGATGGCGGCACGCGGAGAGCAGAGGCAGGAATGGGAGGGAGGAGAGGAGAGGAGAGGAGGAGAGGACGCGGGGCGCTGTCTTTTCAAAACGAGGACCCAACACCACAGGATGGTTCGGAAAAACCGGAAACAATCGGATGGCTTCAAAAAACCTGTGAAGAAGCCAGCTGGCGCAAAACCTGTGGAAAAAAACAGATCGAACTCAGAAAACACGATGGAGAAGCGAACTCGCGCACGACCTGTCTGTTCAAAACAGTACGCGGAGACGGGGCGGCCACTCTCAGGACATCTTCGGGGAGAGTAGTATTCATAGCGTGCGCATGTAGAAGAGGGAGGAGGAGGAGGAGGAAGAGGAGGAGGATTACAGGATTCCAGGTCGGCCACGCGCGCACCCCGAAAGGGCGCGAGGTCCAGGCCAAGAGCAAAAAGGAAAACAGGGACCACAGACGACGGCGCCGACGAACGACGATGGCGAGGACGGCGAGGACGACGACAGACGAACGATTGCAGAGACGCGAAAGACGACGACGATGACGACCACGACGACGACGACGACGACGACGACGACGACGACGACGACGACGACGACGGTGGCAGCCGCAGCCGTGCGATCACAGACGTAAACGGGCCGAGGAGGAGGGTAGGGTTGAGGAGGAGGAGGAGAAGGAGGAGGAGGAAGAGGAGGAGGAAGAGGAGGAGGAGCGAGGAGAGAGCAGGATGCAATGCCTCTGTTCCAATGCCCGTGCCCCTCCATGCGTCTGCGACCAGCAGGGCGGCCTGGCACCTGAGAGCACGGCCGCTGAGTCCAGGAGCGCGCAGCGAGCAGCACGAATTCGGTCAGTCCGAAGCACGTGCTCGTCCACCCCGTGCCTCTTGCGACGTGGACATAAAACAATGACCGAGCTCCTTCAAAGCTTCTGCTGTTCGAGGTCTTTAATGAACGATGGGAAAAGGATCAGTTGACGGCAATAATCGAAGTATTGAAATAATTGTGTTGCCCGAAGTCTCTGGATGTTCGATGTAATCGTCGATTGGTGGCGACGACCCAGCTATGTTGATGCATGTGTCGCTCTCTGGGCCTCTACAGGCTTCTGCATCGTCACGGCCGGGCCCGCCTCGAAAGTACTGGTCATGACGCACCCCAGGAGAGCCCCGGGGGCCCAGTTTCGAGGGAAGAGGGGAGCCACACATCGGTCGTCACACGAACACATCGAGACTGCTGGCTTCCCTCTGCCGGGGCCTCCAAGGACCCACTTCGGGCCCCCGGAGCGTCAGAGCACCATCCAGGACGGACAACAAATATGTCCTGGGGAAGGGGTATAGAGCTCTAGGGGCCCACGTCATGAAACGATCTCGACGCCAGAGGTCCGCATTGGCAAATCGAACGCACGGGCGCCATATTTCGCACCCAGCGAGATGGCCACAACGCATGCGCGAGATGTTTGACGTGTCCTTTGAAGGGGCGGCATGAACGGATACAAAGTCCAACACCAATTGTACAGTAATGGTGGCACAAATGCAGGAGCACAAATGACGGGCCAAGCATCCTGCGGCCGGACAATACCAAACTGCATAACTGCACGACAAAAGCGGATCGGATCCTGGCGCATTCGGTGGACGGACTCGCTCTTGGCGCCGCTGACCTGATGGGTGCAAAACGAGAAAACTCTCGGCTCATCACCAGCACGCTCATCCTGGACTCCTACTTGAACACGCTCGGATACGAAGACGATCCGCATTAGCAGACTCATACAACAAGCACAACCAGTATAAGCACCCAACAACCCAGCACTCCACCCGCATGAACACTTCCCACACAGCTTCCTAAGTCCCACCAGCCTTCTGGGCGTTGGTGGTTTAGGGCGTTTCCTCTTCCACGCCTCCCTCTTCCCCTTCGGGGAGGGGTTTACCCCTCCCCCTACCCCCTCTCCTGGACCTGGACGGTGCGTTCCGCGAGCGGTCGGAGCGCCTAAAACGGCCTCGGCGAGGAAGTCAAAAACATTAGTTTTAATAAAGCTTTAGCCCCACTTTGGCCTCCTGGGGGGAAGGCTAATTAGACCCCTTCTTTGATCGATCTCCTCCGAGATGGCCCCAAGAGCGCTCCCAAGGCTCCCAAGGGTGCCCCAAGAGGGCCCCAAGAGGTGGCCAGGAGAGGCCCCCCCCTGAGGCACCCAAGACGCTCCAAGAGGCCTCGGCGAGAATGCCAAAATCATTAATGTTACTTAGGTTTGGGCCACATTTTGGCCTCCTGAGGGGGGCACTGCTTACGATGACTCCAAGAGCGCCTGGGAGAGCCCAAGATGACCTCCAAGATGGCTCAAAATATCCCCAAGATGCGTCAAGATGGCTCCCACGATGTTCCAAGAGGCCCCAAGACCGCTCCAAGACGGCTCCAAGTGGCCAAAGACCTCCCCCAGCAGGCCCCGAAGAGGCCAACATCCTTCAAAAGCCTTAGGAAAATCAATGTTTTTGGCTTTTTCGCCGTTCCGCTTCCGATGGCCATCCGAGGCCTCAAGATGGCTCCAAGATGGCCCAAGAGGGCTCCAAGAGCGCTCGCAAGGCTCCCCAGAGCGCTTCAAGAGGGCCCCAAGAGGCGCCCAGGAGGCTCCAGGAGTTCCCAACAGGCACCCAAGAGGCCTCCGAGAGGCTCCCAAGAGACCCCCAAGAGGCCCCAAGAAGCGCTCCGAAGCACCCAAGACGCTCTAACAGGCGTCCGGGACCGCCAAGAGGCCCCCAAGACACTCCAAGAGGCCTTCACTGGGGCGCCCTTCCTCTGTGTGCTGCCCACTTCCCTGATCGAGGCAATTCCTCTGGGCATCGTTTCTGGATGGGCTGGTGGAGAACTTTTTAGTCAGCGGCCGCGAGCGAGCGCGCCGGCGGCGAGTCAGGTCAAAGCGGGCTACGCAGAGACTGATTAAGCAAAAGCAGCGCGAACAGGCTACGACTAACGCAGCAAGCCGAGGCCTCACGCGGCGGCCCAGCGGCGGGCGGGTGGCACGGGAGCTGGTGGAGAACGCGAAGCGTCTACAATTTCTTTCTCTCTGTCTCGCTCGGTGATCCCCCCCCGCCATCCAGCACATCAGAGGAATAGATGTCCCTCTCTCTCTCTCCCTCGATCAGCTAACTCATGGAATGTTGTGCACGATGTGTGGTGCAATCGACGTATGTGGTCCAACATATGCTGTGCAAACTATGTGATGCAATATGTGTGATGCAATCGACGTGGTGCAATGTATGTGATGCAAATCCTCTACGTTGTGCAATCTATGTGGTGCAACCTATGTGGTACAGTCTATGTGGTGCAGTCAATCACTTGCTCAACTTGAAGCTGTCCTCTCCACTGCTCGCGCAAACATCCCACCCTCCCACCCGCAACTTGGTTTGCAAAACCTCTTAAGACCGACTACGACGACACCGACGACAACGACGACGACGACACCGACGACGTCTCCGACGACTTCGACGACGACAACGACGCCGACGCCGACGACGACGAAGACGACGACGACGACGCAACGAAGACGACGACGAGGGAGGAGGAAGGACGACGACGGCGACAACGACGACAACGACGACAACGACGAGGGAGGAGGGAGGACGGCGACGACGCGAACGACGACGAAGGAGGAAGGACGGCGACGCCGACGACGCGAACGACGAGGGAGGAGGGAAGACGATGACGACAACGACGACAACGACGGTGACGAAATAGGAGGGACGACGACGAGACGCCGACGACGGACGACGACGACGACGTGGGAGAAGGAGGACGGACGACCACGGCGACAACGACGACGGAAACGACCACGACGCCAAAGAGGACGACGACGACGAACACGAGAAAAGACAGAGGACGACGTAGGCGACGACGACGACGACGACGACGCGGGAGGAGGGAGGACGGCTACGACGACGACGACGACGACGCAAGAGCGCGCGCGCGCACGCTTTTGTTGAAAATCCGCGTTGCGAAACCTTAGGTGTTTGTAGGTTTTTTGGACGCACGATTTTGAAATCCTTCCGAAACCGAAGGGTTTTTGAAGGTTTTCGGCATACGCCCGCGACGACGCGCGCGACTGCACTTCGTCTCATTTTTTCCAGAGGACTCTCGCGACAGCACACGCGCAAGGGCGTTCGACAGATTTCGACATGCGCGCGCGAAGCCTGTTTGGTAGCATGTTGTGAAAATCTTGAAAAGACCTGTGGTTGTTTTAAACATTTCGCAAGAGCTCGCGCAGAAGCTTTTCTAGCAAGTCTGTGTTGCGAAACCCTGTATTTTTGTATGTTTTTTGGAAACTCGATTGCGAAATCCTTCCGGCACCGAAGGTTTTTGAAGGATTTCGGCATGCGCGCGCGACGACGCGCGCGTGTGCACTTCGTCTCATTTTTTGCAAGGGATTCGTGAAAAAGTGCTATGTTAGAACAAAAAGTGTCACCGCATAGCTTTTCTTCAAGGGAACATCAGGGGGGGGAACCCGGCCTAGCTGGGAGGATATGATTTCATATTTAGGATGGACGAGTGGTCAGAATCACATATGATTTACATACCCGAAAAGGAAACGGATAAGTCCAGGGGGGGGGTAGAGTCTATTCTCCTGTTAGAAAGGAGAATCTAGGTTGTGCTATGTATATGGTGCAATATATGTGTGGTTCAACGTGTGTGGCACGCAATCTATCTAGTGCAATCGACGTCGTGCAATACGTGTGGTGCAATCTATGTGGTGCCGTCAACTCTGCTGAACTTGAAGTCGTCATCTCCACTGCTCGCGCAAACATCCCACCCACCCACCCGCAACTTGGTTTGCAAAACCTCTAAGACCGACTACGACGACAGCGACGACAACGACGACGACACCGACGACGTCTCCGACGACTTCGCGACGGCACCGTCGCCGACGCCGACGACGACGAAGACGACGACGACGACGACGCCAACGAAGACGACGACGAGGGAGGAGGAAGGACGACGACGGCGACAACGACGACAACGACGACAACGACGAGGGAGGAGGGAGGACGGCGACGACGCGAACGACGAAGAAGGAGGAAGGACGGCGACGCCGACGACGACAACGATGAGGGAGGAGGGAAGACGACGACGACAACGACGACGACGACGACGACGACGGCGACGAAATAGGAGGGACGACGACAAGACGCCGACGACGGACGACGACGACGACGAGGGAGGAGGAGGAAGGACGACCACGGCGACAGCGACGACGGAAACGACCACGACGCCAAAGAGGACGACGACGACGAACACGAGAAAAAACAGAGGACGACGTAGGCGACGACGACGACGACGCGGGAGGAGGGAGGACGGCTACGACGACGACGACGACGACGACGCAAGAGCGCGCGCGCACGCTTTTGTTGAAAATGCGTGTTGCGACACCGTTTTTGTAGGTTTTTTGGACACACAATTTCGAAATCCTTCCGAAACCGATGGGTTTTGAAGGTTTTCGGCACACGCGCGCGACGACGCGCGCGTCTGCACTTCGTCCCGTTTTGCAGAGGATTCTCGCGACGGCACACGCGCAAGGGCGTTCGACAGATTTCGACATGCGCGCGCGCGAAGCCCGTTTGGTAGCATTTTGTGAAAATCTTGAAAAACCTATGGTTTTCTCAAGATTTCGCAAGAGCTCGCGCGGAAGCTTTTTTAGCAAATCAGTGTTGCGAAACCCTGTGTTTTTGTATGTTTTTTGGAAACTCGATTGCGAAATCCTTCCGGCACCGAAGGTTTTTGAAGGATTTCGGCATGCGCGCGCGACGACGCGCGCGTGTGCACTTCGTCTCATTCTTTGCAGGGATTCGTGAAAAAGTGCTACGTTAGAACAACAAATGTCACCGCATTGTGTTTTTTTACAAGGGAACCTCAGGGGGGGGGGACCCGGCCTGGCTGGGATGGTATGATTTCATATTTAGGATGGACGAGTGTGCAGAATATATATGAAATCATACTATCCCAGGGGGAGGCGATAAGTCCGGGGGGGGGGAGGGGGGGAGAATCTATTAGTCTTTTAGAAAGGAGAATCTATGTTGAGCGATCTAGGCGGCGACGGGGCGTCGATGACGCGGCGACGGGGCGGCGACGGTGCGGCGACGGCGGCGACGTAGCCACCAGAGCGGCAGACAGGCCCAGACGACGGGCGGCGACGAGGCAGCGACGGAGCGGCTACAGAGCCGCCAGAGCGGCGGACAGGCCCGGACGACGGGCGGCGACGAAGCGGCGACGGGGCGGCGACGAGGCGGCGACGGGGCGGCGACGGCGGCTACAGAACCGCCAGAGCGGCAGACAGGCCCAGACGACGGGCGGCGACGAGGCGGCGACGGGGCGGCGACGGCGGCTACATAGCCGCCAGAGCGGCAGACAGGCCCAGACGACGGGCGGCGACGAGGCGGCGACGGGGCGGCGACGGCGGCTACATAGCCGCCAGACCGATACACCAGTTCAGGTCCTCGGAAGAGAGGCGAGAATCAATAAGTGCAAGCACTGCCTGGGGAATACACCCACCCAGGCGCCGTGCACGTCACCAAAACATGCGAGAGAACACAATGGAAAAAAAAACAATAGACAAAGAGTAATGTAATACGTTCACGAGGTGTCTCTGCCCAAGCAATTGATTCCGATCGGATGAGATGGCCACTGGTGATTCTGCCCAAGCAAATACTTCTATTCGGATGAGATGGCCGCGGGTCCACATAACATGTTACAACTTGTTCGGAGCGGCTTCGAGACTGATGTGCAACACAATAACTATGCGAAGGAAACAGCGTCTTGAACACAATCTTGGCACTCTCGCTCTGGAGGCTTCCAAGCCTTATGGACACACATCAAAAATGGCTCATGACTTGTGCTTGTTGTGGGGCGAGCTTCATGTTTACACTCTCGGAGTCTGACCAAATATATAACAAAGAGCGCGTTGGCCGTCATGGGCCAGGAGGGCTCTTCCTCCACGAGGCGCCTTGAGCTCCCGCGTGGTCAAGCCGACGGGCGGGACGGCGGTCAGCTATGAGCAGCACTTGGCTGCGGAAGCCCTCCATTCACGTCGGCAAAACGCATGCTGCGTCCATGAATACTTTAGGAGGCAACTACTGGGAGGTCTTCGTCGGAAAGATTAACGAGGATTAAGTCACTTTGGGGGACTGTTACGCCGGACAGGGCCTCGGATTAAACGGGATTAAGCCGGATTAAACGGGACTTAACGGGATTAAGCCGGATTAAACGGGATTAAGCGGAATTCGACCAGATTTCGGACCAGGGCAAAATCTGAATTTGACCTACCAGGCGTTGCATCCGAGAATACTGACTGCTTTCGTTTGTGGGGGGAGGGGGCCTTTTTGCACTCGCGGAGTTCGAATTCCGTGGGCTCGCAGGGCCAAAGAGGCAAGAGGGCGGCCCAAGGCCGCCTGAGGCCGGGTCTCGCACACACGGGAGACGCGGGCGACGGCTACACCAGCACCGCTGCATATGCCAGCCTTAGATTTAGGTCGGGCATGTCCCCCTACAGGCGGATTTTGTGCGAAATACAGAAAATCGTCAAAAATTACTCCGACATGGTCAAAAATATTCAAAAAAACGTCCCCAGACTATTGTATGACTATTTTTGAATGTTCTCCCTGTCGAGGGACACGCCCGACCAAGCCTTCGATGCAACCCTCGCGACATCTCGACGAACACAGTGCAAGACCATGTGCGACTCCCCACTCGATACAGGCTGCTGTAAGCTGTCCGGGTCAACGACATGGCCGGGGCAAAGACGAGCGCCGAAGACCGAGAACAGAAACCAGGAGCACAGCGAGATGATGACCAACGAAGCCTGAGGTAAGTCGGGCCTGTCCAACTACAGGGGGATTTTGGACGAAAAAATAAAAAGACTCGAAAATATTCAAAGACAGTCCAAAAATGATCCATAAATTGTCCCCGGACTATTTTTTTGATTATTTGGAACATTCCTCCTGTAGAGGGACAGGCCCGACTTAAAGGCAGAGAGAAAAGATGAGGGAAGGCTGCGACCCGCGATGCACTTCGAAGGTCGCTGAAGTCCGACATTTCGCTACCAATGTCCGACATGAGGTCCGAATCACTGTCGCTGCCGATGATGGTCGGGTCAATCGGCATGTCCATCGTCGGTCCATCCTGTTGCATCCGCACAGCCAAAGTGGTAAATGCCAATATCCGCCACCGTCCCGTAGACATTGAGTGAAGTCTCTTCTGGCCCCCTCAAGCTTTACAATGATGCAAGGAACCCAGGCCCCATCTTCCGGGCGCTCTTTTCTCCTCGCGTCACTTTTCCAGAGGCCTCGGGAACGTGCTTTGGAATCGACACTTCCAACACGGTCTAGGACGGTACCGGAGCCCGTGCTGGACGCCTTCTCCGCACTCGCTCCCAACGTTCTTGCCTGCTTGCCGCGTGCTCGCCTCTTCGGTCTGCAGGGGCGGCCCCCGAAGGGCCCTCAAGACTGGCCCTAAGAGGGGCCCGCACTTCGGGGCCCCCAGGAAACCCCCCCGAAGCCCCAAGAGGCCCCCCGCAGGCCCCCAAGAGACCCTCCGAAGATCATTTCTGTGTTCTTCGCGAGGACGCTCGTGACCAGCCCTGCCGCCATCCCCCTCCCCGCCCCCCCTGGTCACGCCACGAGTCGCGCCGGCGCCGTCCGGGAAGGAGCCATTCCTAGGCACTCCCGGATGGCGACGGCACGAATCATGACGTCACCGGCCCCCTCCCCCCCTGCCTCGGGGATGGACAGAACCCCCTTTAGTGAAAAGTGGTTTAGTGAAAACGACCTCGGGCCCAAACCTGGCGGGCGCAAGCCTGGAAAATGACGACCGCGGCGCCCTTTCGAGAACCGAAAACGGACAATTCACTAATCGACGTGTCAGGGTGGGGGTTCTGTCCATCCCCGACTGCCCCCCCCCCCAGTCACGCACGTTGCCACTGGAGGACAAGGTGCCAAGAGAGCTTCCGGGGCGCCCGGCAGAGGCCTTGCAAGAGCCCTCAGGAGGCTTCCGAGAGGCCTCGGTGCGCACGACCCGGCCACGGTTTTGCGGGGGTGGGCGCCACTGGATATACGACGAAGCCAAGACAAGGACAAAATCGGACAGGGATACATCGGGGGTCTCTGCGATCCGGCGGCTCTGGAGAATGCATCGGGCGCCGCGGCATTCTCAGAACGTTCCGTCCTGGAACGCTCTGGAATGATTTATCCATGTCCTAGCCCCGCCCGAAGACAACCCGCCGCCTTCGAAAATTCTGCCGGAGAGGTGCTTGGCGCGTTGGACGTGTGAGCTCTTGCTGGCCCTTCCAAGATGTTCTCAGTGGGGTCGGGACCGATGCCGCTGGCCACGCGGCACCACACGGGCAAACCCCAAAATGAAAACAACCTGCTTCCAAATTGGCCTAGA